GGGGGGGGGGGGGGGGGGGGGGGGGTTGAGCAATGGCAGTTGAAACTTGAAACTACAAGGTTTGTGCTGTTTCTTGACCCCCACTACCCAGGGAAACCTCCTTATTTTCCTCTGCTTTCTCTGCAACCAAACAGATATTAAGTGTAAAGTTATATTATTTTAATCTTGGATGATCAGGGGTCGTAGGTGTCATTAAATTTTAAGAATAAACTGAATCCTGGTTTAGCTAAGCGGAAGGCCATTCCACATAATTTAAAAGTTATGTTACAATTGTTTGAACAAAAAACAGATAAAATGATTATTTTCAACATCATATCGTTTTATGATGATAACGATGATGATATTCAAGACATACTAAGCACGTAGAATAAAAAAAAAAAAAAACCATTGAAGCTAGCAAAATTTTGCCATCAAGATGCACAAAATTAATGAAAGAACAAGTACTGTTAGCAGTAAAAATCGAATTAAATACTGACTTTTTCCCAAGATAAACAACAATAGCCATGGGAAATTCATGGTGGTGCATTTCTTTCCTATACAAAAGTGCAAGCCGATTAGAAAAAACTTAAGAGCTATGAACTGTTCTATTGACTACTTAAACTTGGAAATTTCAGTCCTTTTTTCCAATTGAGTGCCAAATCCTGGTTTAACTGAGCTTGCCACTGATTTAGTTGTTGTTGCTCTTGGTTCTGAAGAAGGAGGCCTCAATTTGTTTGTCGCGGCATTCGGGTGAGCAAAATGCTTGTAGATAACTGCATCAGAAAATTTACATCTTGTGAGTATGCTAATTTTCCTCAGTGCAAAAATGTTGTTTCNGACAGAGAGTGGCCTACGGTACCCAAAAAAAATTCTTCTCCTTTAAAGAGACTTCTTTGGAACTAAAAATTTTGGTACCATACCATCACATACTAATTTTGTATTGGGTTGCTTAGTATCGATTTCAGGTAGTCCCAAAAGTTGTAATTGATTCTCAAAAAATTATAACTTGAACCACAAAAGTTGTTGTAAAACGACTTGAAAAGTCATAAATTTTTTTATTATAAACAAACCGAAATTACTTANAGTGCCAAATCCTGGTTTAACTGAGCTTGCCACTGATTTAGTTGTTGTTGCTCTTGATTCTGAAGAAGGAGGCCTCAATTTCTCATTCACAGCAATTTGTTTGTCGCGGCATTCGGGTGAGCAAAATGCTTGTAGATAACTGTATCAGAAAATTTACATCTTGTGAGTATGCTAATTTTTCTCAGTGCAAAAATGTTGTTACGACACAAGACTCCCACCTAGAGTGGAGTCTCGGAGAGGTAACATGTAAGTTTCCCGCATTTAGGATATGTTGATTCTCGGATTTGAACTCATAACATAGTACTTTGGCAGATAATTATACTCTATTCTACTACCAAAGTTCAAGTAATTAGGCTAAACTAAGTAGGATGGTATAGCCAGACTGGAGGTATATGATCATGACCACAAAATGAACAAAAAGCTACATGCTTCACTAAAACCTAGCTCGAAAAAACAAAAGAAGAGGCACATTCAATTTCAAACTTTGTATCCCTGTATCCATATTCTTATCGGTGCTTCCTAGATTCTCATGGTGTGCCTTCTTTTGATTGATTCTGCACCACATGAGATTGAAAGATGTAACACTTTCAATTATTTATGCATGAAGGCAAATTATGGTAGTTTATCAATCGAATTAAGGGACCAGTCATCGGATCGAATTTGGAGTAAAATTGAGATTATTTCGTTTCTTTTCTTGTTATAGAGGGGCCCTGTACTTAGATGGTTGATGGTATACTTTGATCATGAGCTATAACCATGCATTCAATGTTAAAACCAGCGAAAATTAATTTTTAACGTCACATGAACTAGAATAGGGTCCAAAATTTCACACAATATATAAAAATTTACGAAAATAAAAAAAAAAAAAGAAGAAGAAGAAATTTACGTACTCGTACATGTACACGTCCTCTTCAGTTTTTTTCTTGCACAAGGCACAGACCTCAAAGAATGCCCCATGTTGTTGATGCCCTTTCTCGACATCATCGTCATCATCTTCATCGTTGTTCTTCTCCTTCACGACAGGTGACGACTCCAAAGTAAAAATACTCTTTCGCGGAGGTTGTTTTGCCACAGTAACTGGCTCACTCAACTTCTCAATATTCATGCCTTTTCCTGTTGTGGAACTGCCTTTTTTTGCATCTAATTCAGAATCAATGGGTCGCCTCTTCGCCGGCCACATAGCTACCGGAACCGGAGACTCGATCGGCCGTACGGAGGTGTTGAGAAAATCTCCACCGCTTGATGACCTATAAATCCGTCTGCTTTTTGCCGCCATTAATGGGTTTTGATGGAAACCTAGGGTTTTTGTGGGCTAGCTTTAACAAGAGAGAACGAAGATTGTGCACGGCGATTTACACACAATAAATTAAAAAAGACAATTATCTTTCTTCGTGAACTTGTGTCTACTTCAAAAGTCGACAACCTTATGGCAAAGGGAGGCCAAAGATGGCCTAAAGAGTGACGATGAATTGCTATCAAGACTGTCCGATCCATCTCGGTGAACAGAGAGCGGGTTCTTAGCACTCAAAAGAAGGGTTAGAAAGACACTGGAGTGCATAAATAAATTATTGATAATTAAAATAAATTATTGATTTATGCATAAATATCGATTGATTTAGATTCTTAATCTAACTCTGTTGATTCACAAAGAATATTAGTTCAAAAGTTTTCAATATTTTTGTTGATTTTTAAGAATACCAAAAGAAAAGAGATAATTCTCTCACTNATTATTTATGCATGAAGGCAAATTATGGTAGTTTATCAATCGAATTAAGGGACCAGCCATCGGATCGAATTTGGAGTAAAATTGAGATTATTTCGTTTCTTTTCTTGTTATAGAGGGGCCCTGTACTTAGATGATNCAAAAAGCTACATGCTTCACTAAAACCTAGCTCGAAAAAACAAAAGAAGAGGCACAATCAATTTCAAACTTTGTATCCCTGTATCCATATTCTTATCGGTGCTTCCTAGATTCTCATGGTGTGCCTTCTTTTGATTGATTCTGCACCACATGAGATTGAAAGATGTAACACTTTCAATTATTTATGCATGAAGGCAAATTATGGTAGTTTATCAATCGAATTAAGGGACCAGTCATCGGATCGAATTTGGCGTAAAATTGAGATTATTTCGTTTCTTTTCTTGTTATAGAGGGACCCTGTACTTAGATGGTTGATGGTATACTTTGATCATGAGCTATAACCATGCATTCAATGTTAAAACCAGCGAAAATTAATTTTTAACGTCACATGAACTAGAATAGGGTCCAAAATTTCACACAATATATAAAAATTTACGACAATAAAAAAAAAAAAAGAAGAAGAAGAAATTTACGTACTCGTACATGTACACGTCCTCTTCAGTTTTTTTCTTGCACAAGGCACAGACCTCAAAGAATGCCCCATGTTGTTGATGCCCTTTCTCGACATCATCGTCATCATCTTCATCGTTGTTCTTCTCCTTCACGACAGGTGACGACTCCAAAGTAAAAATACTCTTTCGCGGAGGTTGTTTTGCCACAGTAACTGACACACTCAACTTCTCAATATTCATGCCTTTTCCTGTTGTGGAACTGCCTTTTTTTGCATCTAATTCAGAATCAATGGGTCGCCTCTTCGCCGGCCACATAGCTACCGGAACCGGAGACTCGATCGGCCGTACGGAGGTGTTGAGAAAATCTCCACCGCTTGATGACCTATAAATCCGTCTGCTTTTTGCCGCCATTAATGGGTTTTGATGGAAACCTAGGGTTTTTGTGGGCTAGCTTTAACAAGAGAGTGCACGGCGATTTTCACACAATAAATTAAAAAAGACAATTATCTTTGTTCGTGAACTTGTGTTTACTTCAAAAGTCGACAACCCTATGACAAAGGGAGGCCAAAGATGGCCTAAAGAGTGACGATGAATTGCTATAAAGACTGTCCGTTCCATCCCGGTGAGCAGAGAGTGGGTTCTTAGCACTCAAAAGAAGGGTTAGAAGGACACTGGAGTACATAAATAAATTATTGATAATTAAAATAAATTATTGATTTACGCATAAATATCGGTTGGTTTAGATTCTTAATCTAACTCTGTTGATTCACAAAGAATATCAGTTCAAAAGTTTTCAATATTTTTGTTGATTTTTAAGAATACCAAGAGAAAAGAGATAATTCTCTCGGTNATTATTTATGCATGAAGGCAAATTATGGTAGTTTATCAATCGAATTAAGGGACCAGTCATCGGATCGAATTTGGCGTAAAATTGAGATTATTTCGTTTCTTTTCTTGTTATAGAGGGACCCTGTACTTAGATGGTTGATGGTATACTTTGATCATGAGCTATAACCATGCATTCAATGTTAAAACCAGCGAAAATTAATTTTTAACGTCACATGAACTAGAATAGGGTCCAAAATTTCACACAATATATAAAAATTTACGACAATAAAAAAAAAAAAAGAAGAAGAAGAAATTTACGTACTCGTACATGTACACGTCCTCTTCAGTTTTTTTCTTGCACAAGGCACAGACCTCAAAGAATGCCCCATGTTGTTGATGCCCTTTCTCGACATCATCGTCATCATCTTCATCGTTGTTCTTCTCCTTCACGACAGGTGACGACTCCAAAGTAAAAATACTCTTTCGCGGAGGTTGTTTTGCCACAGTAACTGACACACTCAACTTCTCAATATTCATGCCTTTTCCTGTTGTGGAACTGCCTTTTTTTGCATCTAATTCAGAATCAATGGGTCGCCTCTTCGCCGGCCACATAGCTACCGGAACCGGAGACTCGATCGGCCGTACGGAGGTGTTGAGAAAATCTCCACCGCTTGATGACCTATAAATCCGTCTGCTTTTTGCCGCCATTAATGGGTTTTGATGGAAACCTAGGGTTTTTGTGGGCTAGCTTTAACAAGAGAGTGCACGGCGATTTTCACACAATAAATTAAAAAAGACAATTATCTTTGTTCGTGAACTTGTGTTTACTTCAAAAGTCGACAACCCTATGACAAAGGGAGGCCAAAGATGGCCTAAAGAGTGACGATGAATTGCTATAAAGACTGTCCGTTCCATCCCGGTGAGCAGAGAGTGGGTTCTTAGCACTCAAAAGAAGGGTTAGAAGGACACTGGAGTACATAAATAAATTATTGATAATTAAAATAAATTATTGATTTACGCATAAATATCGGTTGGTTTAGATTCTTAATCTAACTCTGTTGATTCACAAAGAATATCAGTTCAAAAGTTTTCAATATTTTTGTTGATTTTTAAGAATACCAAGAGAAAAGAGATAATTCTCTCGGTTGTATTCAATAATCAAAAGTTATTAAGGCCTAACGCTTACATGAATTTATATATTTGCAGAAACCCTAAACGACTAAAAAACTAGAATTTTAAACAAATTAGAAAATAAAATAAAATAAAATCTTAAAATTGAATTAAGAAATAAAATAAAATAAAATAAAATAATCTTCTAATTAAAATAAGAAATAAAATAAAAAAATTTAGAATTCTCTAATTGAACGATATTGACCACATTCAAATAAAATATCAAAATTCTTGTCATCGTATTGCGTTACCTAATTTATTCAAATCATTAGATTAGTTATGAGTCCTAATAAATATTAAGACCCAATGTCAATCCAATAATTATTAATAATTAAGTCCATTTTAGNTTTAGAATTCTCTAATTGAACGATATTGACCACATTCAAATAAAATATCAAAATTCTTGTCATCGTATTGCGTTACCTAATTTATTCAAATCATTAGATTAGTTATGAGTCTTAATAAATATTAAGACCCAATGTCAATCCAATAATTATTAATAATTAAGTACATTTTGGNTACCTAATTTATTCAAATCATTAGATTAGTTATGAGTCTTAATAAATATTAAGACCCAATGTCAATCCAATAATTATTAATAATTAAGTCCATTTTAGCATCATTACTCATCACTCATTATTTAGTGATATTATCATTCTTTGTCACTAGATTAAAAAAATATTATTTAGACTTATTTCAATATATTCATTAAATCAATAGTAAATTTTATCTAATATTATAACTCTCAATTAATCTAATAATTATATTAAAATTATATTATTAAATTCTTAAATTAAATCCTCGTGGCATTACTCATTAGACTGACAGTCTAGGAAAATAGGCCAAGGTCTACACGAAGAATAGCGAGCTCAAGACTTTTTAAAAGTACATCAACTTTAGAGGTCCAGCGGTGCGTTGCTGCACTCCCCACATCCCACATTTCCAAGAACCGTATAACTATGAGAATTATCGGTGTTCTTCAAATTGAAAGTCCCGATCATTATCGGTGCTACTCCATTCATAAAGACAATGGACTTCTCTAATTTTGACTCTGATGAGCTTGAATTGGATTCCAAATAAAGAAAAAAAAATATAATTTGAAATTAGAAGCATAATCTAACTTGTTAACTTAATGATTGATTTCAGTGAAACTATTAATTTAATACAAAATTTTAATATTTGATAAAATTCAAAATTAATTCTAACGTCATAATAAATAAAATCAACAAATTAGACAAATAANGACTCTGATGAGCTTGAATTGGATTCCAAATAAAGAAAAAAAAATATAATTTGAAACTAGAAGCATAATCTAACTTGTTAACTTAATGATTGATTTCAATGAAACTATTAATTTAATACAAAATTTTAATATTTGATAAAACTCAAAATTAATTCTAACGTCATAATGAATAAAATCAACAAATTAGACAAATAAATCATATTTCAATAATAAAAAATAAAAAATTCACCAAATTGAATCAAGCAAACAGACCGTTTTCTCTGGTGATTGTTCTAATGTATTAGAATTGAAAAAAAAAAAATCAGTGACTTATACACATGATGTGACAGTGTAAAATAATGTGCACACATAATAAAAACATTCAACACAATAAACGGTTGATCTAATAGCTCATTTAACTTAAAAAGTAACGAATTTGTTTCCCCCTCCCATCCGTCGTTTGGCGATAAGCACATCGGGTCGCGACATCACTCCTCTCTGCCCAACAAACGACACATCAACCAGATCACTTAGAAACCTAATACACTTGTCAACCTGCATGTCAATACCATGCAAACTCTTTTCGACCCTCCACATCTCTGACAGTAAGTTATTATCGTCTTATAAGTTATAATGTTATAGTCCTTGAAAATATAACCGTTTGGTTTATAATATTCACTTATAAATACACCACCTTCCCCTCCTCTCTTCTGCAAATGATCAAATCAAACACTTTCTCTTAGCCTGTTCCAAATTCTAATACCCACCATGATAGTAAAACCTAAGTTCTCTTCTCTGCTTTTGACTTTATTCATTCTCTCTCTATATCTCGCTTCAGTGTCTCTGTCTCACTGCAGTGAATATGATGAACCAGCGGAGAAAGAGCTCCACAGGTGTCAACTACGGTGGTGCGTGAGGAAATTACAACCCTTCAGTAAGCAAGAACGATGTGCAGAGAGATATAAAGAGAGAGAGAGGCGGTGGCAGTGGCGGCCGCTCAGAAGACCCACGGCGAGACCTCGAGCTGTGCCGGCAACAGTGTCGAGAGGAGGAGCTTGGCCACAGGCAGCAACAAAAGTGTCAGAACAGTGGGTGCGAAGAGGAATACGAGGAACGGAGAAGGAGAGAGAAAGAAGAAGAGAGAGAAAGTGGAAACCCACAAATAGAATACTCTCGGAAGCAATACGAGCAGTGCCGGGAACAATGTCAAACCTACGAGCATGGAAAGAGAAAAGAAGAACAACGGTGCCAGAGACGGTGCAGAGAGCAGTATGAAGAGCAACAGAGAGAGCAAGAAGAAAGAGCCCACGGCGGCGGTGGTGATGGAGAGCAAGACCACCATGACCCTGAACAACAATTCCGGCAGTGCCTAGAGCTCTGTGACAAGCAACCACACCGGCAAAGACCTCAGTGCCGGCGGCGATGCAAGCGGCAGTTCAGAGAGGACAAGAGAGAACATGGGGTGGTGATGATGGAAGAGATCTGATCAGAGATAAAGGAGTTGTTCTTCAAGTTGCTAGCAAGAGAGGGAGTAGAGGAGATACTCAGAAAACAACACCAATCCCACTTTGTGGCTGGACCTAAAGCGTCAACAAAGAGAGGAAGAAAGAGGACACCCTTTAGCGTCAATGTTGGATGCCGTCGGCGTTTTTCTGGACTGTATAAATTAATTAGGAAATAATCATGTAATTATACATATTTTTTTTTTGAACAATCATGTAATTATACTTGACTGCGAGCAAATAACGCGTATATAAATAGAGAAATATTATTTAGACTTAAAATATTAATGAATAAATATTCCGTATAATTTTTATACCACATCAATATTGTTATTGGGGGCAGAATCAGAATTTAATCTTAAAAGAATTCAAATAGAAACAATATATGGTAAAACAAAAAAATTTATTTAACTGAAGTCATAAAATTTAAAAGTTAATTTTTATTTATGATTTTAAAAATTAATTTATAAACTGTGTCTACTTATTCTCCTATTTATAACAAGATAATGACTACGAAAAAATTATCACAATAAAGATTAATTCAGCGTGATCTCATTATAAATTAATTTTTTGTTAGATATTAAATATTTTCTACCCTCCCTTTTTTTTTCTCCCTTTGGTCACCACCCTGCTATCCCCGATACATAATATCATTATCTAACAAAAAAATTTAATTAAAACGTAATAAGTGAGCAAGTGAATTTCACATAATTTAGTAACTACATTTTCATGTACTATAATAACTACTTCTTGATAGAAATGAGATTCACTTTTATCTTCAAAAATTTCACAATTTAAAAAATTCAACAAAATCAACCACTCTTTATCTTCTTCCTTTTCAAAAACTCAACCAAAATAATACACATACACTCCTTCATTTTCTTCTTAAGTCATATGAATACTGTTATACTATGTTAGTGTTAGTATTGTGTAATCATTCAATAAAAAAATAATAAAAGAGATAAAATAGAGTCAACTTCTCACAATGGAAGTGATTATCTATGACATGATTGAGTGATTATGAGTTTTAGTAAGATTCATTTGTTGACCTATTTATCAATGATCAAATTTTGAGATCAAATTAAGAGTTTAAATAATATGACATCTGAGTTGAACTTCTTTATTTAGTGTCATGTCTTTTGAGTTTTTAATTTAGTCCTAAAATTTAGGAGTAATGTTATATGGACTTAAAAATTAGACTTGATAATTTCAACTATTGAAGAGGTAGTGAGCCTCAATAAATGCTGGAACCCACAATGAAAACAATAGTTGAGATTATTAAGTCTAGTTTTTAAGTCTACTTTTTAAGTCCATGTAGCATTGCTCAAAATTTAGTCAATGTAATATTATTGATCTATCAATTTTTGGGACCAAATTTAGAATAATGCAACAATGACCAATTTTTTTGACTAAATTTAAAGCCCAAATGACATGATAGCGTATTATTTGGAGTTTTTTATTAGGACCCCAATGACTTGACGCCAAATAAAAGAGTCCAAGTCAGTTGTCATATCATTTGAACTCCAAATTTAATCCCAAAATTTAGTTAGTGTAGTATTACTCATCTATTAATAGATGGTTACACCACGTACCATTGTTGATGTGGTGTAATGGTTACACTCAGTATTGCAAATAGGAGTGTCAATCGTGTCGTGTCGTATCATTTTCGTATCGTGTTACCTTCGGTACATGTTATTTTCGTATCGTATCACTTTTGGTACGTGTCGGGTTTGTGTCAATATTCGTGTTAATAAAAAATTATTTAATTTGACAACAACTAATATAATACTATTTAAAAAATTAAAAAAAATTTATTTTCTATCTACAATACTCGTTAAATAATTATTTTTTATCTACAGTATTCATTAATCGTGTTATTCATGTCGAAATTTGAGGGGGGGGGTTTATGAGGAGAAAATACTCGATTTAACAGTTACATAGTCATCACCATTACATAATGTTATTAATCAATTATTAATAACCATGTAAAATTAGTAAATAAACCACAACATGTAAAATTATTAATACATAATGTTATAAATCCCTCCAAGTTCTCTATCCACCAATAACCTTGCACAATTAATAACTATCATGTGGAATCTAATGGAGTTCAATTATCTTGCTTGTTTGTTTATTACTAGTTGATGACTCGTATTATAATCGTTATATTGATTAATATTTATTGGACTACTAAGACGAAGGTAACAAGACGTTCGGTGAGATGGAGATTTGGTCAAGGTTGGTCCCTGGTAAAGGTGGGGTGTTTGATTTAATTTGGAAACGTAATTCAATATAATAATTAGATTGATTATGAGTTTTATTTAACATCGAAAACAATGACTCCACTGAATTAAACATTTGATTAGGTCCTTCAAATTAGGTCACTATAAGATTAGCAAAAAAAAAGTAATGCTAAACTAGACTTAAAAAATAAGTTTGATAATCATTACAACCATTGAATAGGTAATGAATCTCTATAAATGTTGACTCATAGTGAAATTAATACTTGTATAGGTAACGAGTCCTTATAAATACTGAGATCTATAGTGAAATTAATAATTATAATTATTAAGTCTATTTTTTAAATTTATGTAGTATTGCTTGCAAAAAAAAATGGTCAATTTTGATTAAAAAAGATGAGCAAGATTTGAAAGTATAATAAACAAGTCATTTTTAACCAAAATATCCAATTGGGTTTTGAAGTCCTTTTTAAAATAGTAAGAGGTAGCTATTATATTTACTAAACTTAGTGGGGGTTTAAGTGTAGTTTATCAAACTTGTTCATCGAGGATTCTTGTTCTCCAAGACGCACTAGCTCTCTCATCACGAAGAAGGAAACGAATAAAAGGAGATAGAGATCTGATTAAGCCACACAAAAAATGGAGTGCGTTTTCGGACTGGTGGGCAAGGGTTTCGCTCTGGTGGTCGCCGATTCATCTGCAGTTCATAGCATACTTGTCCACAAATCCAATGAAGACAAGATCATGATTCTTGACTCTCACAAGCTCATGGGAGCTAGCGGCGAAGCCGGTGACAGGTTCTCTTTCTATAAGATATAAGTATTCTATCACTGCAGTGAAATAAGTCGTGATCTGTATATAATTCGAAAATATTGTCTAAATGTATCTATGCTAATTCCTGATTTAGGGTTGTTTGTGTTTTTTATTTTTTGGTGTTCTTAGAGCTCAATTTACGGAGTATATACAGAAGAACGTGGCGTTGTATCAGTTCCGTAATGGAATTCCGTTGACCACTGCAGCTGCTGCAAATTTCACCAGAGGCGAGCTCGCCTCCGCCTTGCGCAAGGTATCTAATTTTTTTCCGAGGATTTCTGGTTCTAGGGTTTACATTTTTTATTGATAAGTTTGTGGTTTAATAAGTACAGGGTTTTATTTTTGGGGATTCTGTTGTTGTTGGAAACCCTAGAGATTAAAGTTTATAGGAAGTTGGAAGTTAAACTTGTGGAAATGCTTAGAGAACCGTGTCTACTGTTTAATGATTGGTCCATGTGAAAATCACATACCAGTATGTGCTTTGAGTGAATACTTAAGACACTAGAGAGTAGAATATCCTTGTATTAGACATACTATTAGGAGAACAATATCACTCTGCTTCTAAGAAAGGTAGTGTGGGCACCAGGTATGAACAAAATAGGGGGAGGGTGAGAGGAAATTGTAGCCATAATCGGTATAACAGATTTGTTAGGATAAGTTGTGCTGCATTTGGGAGCATAGAGTTGGAAATAGAGCTGGGGAAAATTAGTTCAAATTTTGGCATACTTCTGTGCAGTTCTAATCCTAATATGTTTATTCCAGCTGCCAAGAGGCATTACTAGTAATCATAGTAGAGAGGTGGTCAGCTTGGATTGTATGTCGGAAACTAATTTGAAGCCTTATTTTTGTTTCAAAATTTTCTTTCCACTTCTTTATAGCAAACATTTAGTAGTTATTTAAAAATATTTTCTTGTTTTCGATTAGTATGAATGCTGTCACATAAGTCGGGCTATCACAGATGAAGTGTAGCCATGTAATTGGATTTCAGGAAGTATGGATAACATAGGATCTAGTGTTCTCCAATCATTCTCCCACAAATTTTATTTTGGCAATGACTCTGTTAGAATTAATGTGGGATGAACCATGCTGTCGTAAATATAGTTCAAGTCCTACTCGTGAAAGTAGTGTATATGCCGTCTTTGAAAGTGAAAACACCATCCTGTTATTTAATATTTGGTTTATCCACAAAAGAAAATTTGCCTTAGTTGACAGTCCCTTTTTTTTGTTTTCCAAAGTTTTTAATTGTACTAATGTAGAACATTTGGTTTTTCACATTTATGCACTAAGTACCTCATCGTACTGTAAATAACGTCTGAAAGCTAGTATGACAGGTATTAACATCTGCATAGGTGCATGTAAGAAATGTCTCTGGAAGTGCTTACCTTGAGAGAAGAATGTAAAAATTCTACCATCATCATTGACCCTGTTATTGTTGTGTAAACCAAAATCCTGATGTCTGTTATATGTAAAAAGTTTTTATGCATGTAAAAAAGGCTCTACAACTTGTGTGTGCTTCTCTTCATGCTTTGTAAAGTTGTATAAGGAGGTTCTCCTCTTCTGTTAAGGGTGCATGTTGTATAAGGAATCATTAATGGCTGTTGTGTTGTAACTAAATGATTGAAAAACTCCAAATCCGAAGTGCTAGCATGTTACTTGCATTTTAATCACAATGGAGGTGGAATTGTTTAAAATGATAGAAAGATAAGAAAGGTGAATGCCTGAATTCATAGGAACTGATTGTAACTTTTAAAGTAGAGTTGCGGTTATGGAAGAGTGTTACTGGCAGTAAAGTTTGGGATGGGGTAGATCAATCTCATGAATTAATTGATTGACTTGGGGGATCGACATTGCTCCTAAATTAAATTTCTTGATTCTTGAATAGGAGACTACTTGAATTAAGCAGCAGCAAACCCTCTCTTATTTGAGGAGAAAACCCATCTTTTCTTTAGATTTGTATGTCGATCATACTTTTTTGTTGGGTGACTATCTTCCTCATCATGATTTAGAGTGTTTTTCTTATTCATGCATAATGGAGATCTCTCGCCCTATTTTTGGAGGAAGTTTTCACTTGTATGAGATATCTCCCATCACCTCCACAAGGGAAGGTGCATGATTCACATCCTAGCTAGGGCATGGGTGTGCATTTATTGGTTATGGAAAATGTTCTAATGTTTTATTTTTTATTATTTTTTTTTATCCTGTTCATTCTTTATTGTTATCTTTTTTCTTCTTGTTTTTCTCTTGTTTTTTTATGGGTCCCCATATTAATGGGTGGAAGCTTTTTTTTTTTTTTTTTAATGGGTGGAAGCTAGCTTTGATATTCAGTCCCATTTCCCTAAGAAGAAAAACATGTTCCTTGCTGTTGGGTCATCTAGTTAGTGAGCATGACTAGGCTTGGCTTGAGTTGTTTCGGTCCACAAGAGTTTGTTTTACCTCTATGAAGACCTCCGAAGCCTAGGCTAGGCTTAAAAGTTCTTTGAAGAGCTACTCGCCAGCCCTTGCTTTAGTAGAGGGAACACACACTGTTGAACAAGCTCATTCACGTGGGTGCAGATGACATTTCAACAGCTAAATGCTTGCCCAGTAGGTAAACCCCCCAACTAAAAGGAAGAGTGTCAGGATGCCAGTAATGTCCACTTCTTTGATGGGATTTCTTTCAAAATTCTACGATTTGTAGAATGCGTGACCATCTTCTATCCTCTTTGACTAGGCTAACAAGGTCACAACTAGGCTCTTGAGGCCTCAGTCAGAGACTTGAAGGTTTTTCACCAGGCCTGTGAAGTCTTAATGATGTTTACTTGGGTATCTATGGAGGCCTTCAGAGCTTTTAAGAGGCATTTTGGCACTGCTTGAAGGGTTTCATCTGTAATTGATCCCTTCCCTTGGCTTATCGAACATCAATAAGGGTCCATCAGTTATTGAATTTTATTTGTCAGAGTGGGATGTCTAGTGTTTATCATGATAGGGATTGGATTTAATTTTCAGGTTTGTGTTCTTATATGGTGTCGAAATAGGTTCTTGGATAGCAGTTGCTGAGGTAGTGATTATGATGGTATGCTGATTTCGTGATGGGGGTGATAACAATAATAGTTTTGCAGTTCTTGAAGGTGGAAATGGTGGCAAGGGAACAATGGGTTGCTGCTGGTGGTGAAGGTGGATTCTCAAAGTTGTTTTTAGTAATCGAAATTGCAGGATTCTGAGTTACAGCATCCTTTGCAGTGAGAATTTGATGCGTCTGTGACGATGTTTTCAGTGTAAGAGGTGGAAATGGTTTGCTGGTGTTAGGTGTTATTAGTTGTCATATTTTGCTGACCAGGTTGTGTTCTTGACAGATTGTCAACATTGGTGGACGGATGGAGGCCTTAGTGAGTTAGTACTAAAGGTGGTTATATTTATGTCTTTTGCAAATAAAGAAAAAAGGTCTTAGTTATCAAAATTATGGTATTTTCTCTCTCTTTAATATGCTTAGTTAGATTGAGTGCTGTGTCGTGTAAATCCTATGTTGTGCTTGCCTTTTTGAGTGTGACAAAAGGAAAGTCTTTCAAGCAACTTGTATTATCATCTCCATTAACACGAGGACACTTTTATGGAAGGAGACCGCCGTACTTGGATTTTCTCTCCTTGTGTCTAGGATGTAAATACAATTATCAGGCTCCTAAAATGTTTGGGGGACCCTCACATTAGATCTAGAGATCCCAGCTGGCATCATGACCATTACCATGGTAGTGACATTGGACAATCCTATGGGGGATCAAAAGCAAGCTTACGGCTTGGACCATACCTGACTAGTGATTTGGTTATGTGATTTTTCCGAAGTCCCCTGGGTCTTACTCTGGATTTCTTTTCATTTCTCTGGAGTAGATATGAAGTATTGTTTCGTGGTCTCCATTGGGGTGGATGTTTCAGCATCTGCTGTATCTATCAAAGAATGTTAAAAAGTTGTTGCAACATCTGCTGTAACTCTTGTGGTGGAAAATGAGCCCTTCGAATTTTGATCTATTTCCTTGATCTGTGTCAAGCTATGAATTACATAATTTCGTTTGTTGCTCATGAATTATTGCTATATGTCAATGGGACTCCGGTGTTAGTTTTCATGTTTTACCCATCTGCTTGTTCTGTTTGGCAACCATATATTTACTTCTTTAATGTTTAATTGCATCACCAGTGCTCTCTCTTTGTTGGAGTCGCACGTAGTTTTGCATACAGATGTGGCCAACGTTTGTGTCCCTCTTTCTTCATGTTAAAATATCTTAAATCTGAACCGTACGGAAACATGTGATGAACTCCTAACCTCAATTTTCTTTCATAAGAAGTTATATTTTAATGGAAAAAGGAAGAAGAATGAACTGAAGATAATGAAAAGGTGGGAGGTGACATTGCTATTCACTTGGTTTTTCGTGTATGGCTTTGGCTGAACTTTTGTCCTTGATGTTCAGAACCCTTACATGGTGAATATCATTCTGGCTGGCTATGACAAGGAGATAGGTCCTTCTCTATACTTTCTGGACTATATTGCTACCCTTCACAAGGTTGACAAAGCAGCCTTTGGTTATGGCTCCTATTTCTCACTTTCCATGATGGATAGACACTACCGCAGTGACATGTCGTTGGAAGAAGCCATTGATTTGGTTGACAAGTGCATAATAGAGATCCGATCCAGGCTGGTTGTGGCCCCTCCAAATTTCGTTATCAAAATCGTTGACAAGGATGGAGCGAGGGAGTATGCATGGCGTGAATCTATTAAGGATGTTTCTATACCTGCAGCCTGAGGTTTTCTTTTGGTGCTACTAGACTTGTTGCTCCCTCCGAACTCTTACTATCTTCACCATCTTACATGACTCTTGAAATTATCAAATACTAGAAGTGCTCGTTTGATTTGGTGCTCCCGCCAGCATGTAACTTTGTAACTTGATGCTATAATCTTTTCCTCTAGGATTTATCAAATCCTGGAAAGGCAATGGTCTACTAGGTCAACCGTCTTGGCCCGGCTCGTTCGACAACTATGCTTTGGAGAACGTTCTACCGGTGACTATGTGGATCCATCACTTAAGAGGATGACCCTTCATGCCTCTTTTTCTTGGATCTTCAGTTCGTGAGCTTCTTATTTCTCTTATTTTTGTGGGTGTTGATGTGCAAGAAAATTTAATCTAGTACTTGTGTATAGGACTTGGGGTTGGCCATGGTCTGACAGGGTAGCCCACTATATCTGCCCAGGCATGGCTCGGTCTTGAGCCAGATGTGCCTAACCCAGGCCCGGCCTTGTTTCGAGCCATGAGCCCCTGAGCCAATTTCGTGGCCCAGAGCTAGAGGTGTCAGCATGTTAAAATGCACAAATATTTCACTTTTCTAAAGGAAATTATGTAACATAATCTCCATTTCAAAGGGCCAATTAATGGACCTAATATTGTAACCTAAACCTAAAATTTAATAAAACTAATTTTTTTAACTGGGCTTAACCATGAGCCAAAAGAATTTGCCCGAACCTTGAAGTTTTGGGCTGGAGCGAATGGGTCGGTTAATGTAACGACTTTTTTTTTTGTTTGTTTGTTTCAGTGGTGTTTGTGTTATTTTATACGTACTTTGATTAATTTTTTTCTCAATTTAGTCAAAGACAGACTATCTATATTGGGATTAGAATATTCATAAGGGATTTAATTTTTTATCTAGTTCCATCAAAGATATATCATCTATATCAGGATTAAGATAAATTTCTTATGGTATGATCTTAAGGGATTATTAAAATTCGAATTCAAGATGTTTAAATTTATAATTTGTCTTTATTATTGCTTGAACTATCCTTCGGAGTTAAGTAATATAAAAAATAAAGCGTGCAAGGTTCTCATCTTATGTACCAACTAGCTCAGATAAAGACATTGAGTAAACAAAATGATTTTACCTCGTTGGCTTCTACTTTTTGTTGGTATCCTTAAAAGTTCTCTTCCACAGGACTTATTGTTGGCTAAGTGGCTAACCTCAAAGTGTGACAAGTGACAAGTGACAAGTGACAAATGACAACTGAAAGCTCAAAAACAACCAAAGTTGGCATGAACGTGAAGCTTAATGGGGCCCTCATGAGGGCCAAGAAGGCAGAAACTTGAAAATCTAACCTCTACCCCTTTCTAACCAAAAGAAAGAGTCATGGTAATTGAAGGATTGATAGGATGAGCCATGAGTACATTTCGAAAAGAAGGTGGGTTTGAGTGTATTTACGTGGATTTTGACATTAATTTAACCGATATATTATTTTTATGAAGTGGGTTGGGTAATTATAAGATTAATTAAATGTTTTAAGAGATCCAAACACAGTTCACCCTTTCTCCTTTTGAGTGTCTCGCATTGTCGTTATTAACTACTTGATTTGATTTAACATTATAACAAAACTCACACAGATGTCATCATTTCTGATACAAAATACTTATGTTATTAAATTGGAGTGAATGACAAAAATCTCTAAATCCTCAATTTACAATTTAAATGATTTAAACTTTCCCTTGTCAATTTAATCACATAAAAATATAACAATGTGTTCTGTTTTTGATAAAATTGCCTACAAAATTCTCATGTAAACTTAAAATTAAGTAATACAAAGAATAGTGTATAGAAAAAAAAAAAAACTTTGTCAAATAAATTGACTTTATATTTGATATTGGACCATATTATTCTCTCTTTTATATGATTGAGGGTGTAATGAAAGAATATTAATCTTTTGGGGCATAAATTAAATATTTAAAGGTCTTTTAGGTACAACATTTCATTCACTGTAATAAATTTTGGAACAAAGTAAAATAAAATCACATATGGGGTGTAAAGTGACATAATTTTTTATCCAATTTCTAGCGGGCATTTTCTATTGGCCAGAGCCCAACTAATCACCATTATTAAAAATACAAAAAGATAACAATTGAAAGGGAACTTTGAGATTAGAGTATAATTAAGGGGGTCAAAATATAATTTTCTTATAATGCACAAATTGCAAATCGTGGCCACCGAATATTCTGACTATACTTGTAACAAATCACTGGCGCTTTACATGTTCCTCACTACTTCACTATCTCTTCTCTGCTAAGAAACACTTTCTCTCTCTTGCAGAGAGTTCTGTATATAGCTTTCAAAGCGGGTATGAGATTCAGACGCTTTTGGTGATGGCATTAACCAAATAAATTAAATTATGTATGAATTTGTGTATGAATTTATTTACTTTTAAATGTTTCAGTACTATGGTGATCAGTTTCTGCAAAAATCTTAGTATTTAGTTTTTGATTTGTTGAAGGACAAAGGGTTAAAGGGTATCTCTTTGTTGAGGCTAACAATCCGCATCGAACCCTTTTGATCCCATCTTCTGGAGCTCAAATCAAAGGTGGGTTTCTGTTTTTTTGATTCATCAGAAGTTTTTTTTTTTTTTGTTTTTTGGTCGGATGATTCATCAGAAGTTTGTATCACCATGTTTGCATGATTATATGAAACATTTGGTTCTGCATTAACCTCTTTATGTTATTGTGTGTGCGAGTGCATAAAGATCTTTTCAATTTTGTATTTAGGTTTTGAGGGTATATGGATAAATAGACATATGGGTATGTATAATGGTGGTTTTGCCTTCTATATGGATTTCGTAGGTTAGTTTGATTGATCTTGACTACGGGTCTATGAGCAGAAGAATGACATTGTGGTATATGAGAGCTTTTGTGTTTATTGATGAGTGGCTGCTTTTAATTTTACTTTGTTTTACTCCAATGTAGTGATTTTTTGCAGCTTTTTCTTATTTTTTGATGTGGGTTGTTCCATTTTTTTGGTATGGTAGGTTGACTTGGTACCCTTATATCATTTGTTGGTGTGGCTTCCCATTTTGTGTCTTTATATTTTGGAGTGTGGATTAGCCATTGAAACTTCTGTGGCTTTGCTTGTTAATTGAGTTTATTTTATTTTTAATTCTTGTCCTTATTTAATATCTGGTTTTCTTTCTTTCTTTCATCTGTGTGACCAGTTATACTTAGTCACACATCACACGTATCTTGGTTTCAAGTCATAGTCGGGATGCGACCGTATTGGAATACATCCACCACCCAATTAACAGAATCCAGGTTCCAGGAATCTGATTTTTTTTATCCTTTTGCTAAGAAAAGGTAAATGTTAAGTGCAGAATTGTACCCGAGTTTGCTTCACAATTTTGTTAATAATTTTTGGAAAAGATATTCCAGTTTCTTAAGTAATATTTATGCTATACTATTTAAAACAATCTTGAAACATGTTAAAAATCTTGTATAATATCCATTCGATACTTAAAAGTGTAAAGCTAATTTATGAGTCTACTTTATTCAATTTTTTGAATTGGGGATATTACCAAAAAAAAAAAAAAAAAGGGAAAACTAAGGTTTAGAGTAAATTTAAGGTGACTGCCAAATTCATGTAGTGTTGATATGGGAAATCACAGAATGTAATGGCTGATTTAGCTATTGAATTTTATTCCGGCTGATCAATTGTCTATAAGGAGAACATAGCCTAGAAAGTACTTTTAAGGGATGGTATTGTGTAATAGTAAACAACAATTTTTAGAACTATAAGTATATTAATTAGACTGGTATTATTCTTCTCAAAATCATTGTATGCTGGATACCCAACCTCAGGGAATAATTTTTCCATTTATATTGTGGCTTTCTCTGTTAGGTGACGTTTCTATTGGAGATATAACAGCTTAGTTTATTAGGGTTTATTAAGTTTTCCTTTTTTTATCCTTATTTATCTTTATTGTAATTTTCATTGGCTAAATATACGGGGCTCTACACTTAGTTTGTATCCCTTTTTCTCTCTTCTAATTATTTCAAGTGTTTCTAACATGGTTATGCTATTGAGTAATCTCCTCTTACTCAGTATTGTTGTTTTGATTGTACACATACTGGCTACATTAATGCTTTAGATCCAGTGTGTAGCAATTCAGGTTTGTGGGTCTTGGTTGCAGGTTCATCTTTAACTTAGATTTCTTCGAGCAACATTGCAACAACATTTATCACTATCTTTGAAAATCATTGCGCGGCACTTACTCATGACTTTTGTTGAAACTGACAGATTTTTTTCAAACTGTTGTCAATCTATTGATGGGTACGCATGGTGATAAGTGGGATGAAGAATGGTCTGTCATTGGAGACAAAGGAGACATTGGGTTCATCGACTTTGAGGATTGTAAATCTGTTTGTAGCTACAACCCGACTGAAGAGAGCGAGATTGTTATATCGGTTCCATTTCCTTTAGTAAAAGGAAAGCCACAATCGGGATTTGTTGGAGATACTGTTGTTGATTCAATCACTATCAAGAACACCACCAGTGAACCAGTGGAATTGTGGTCAGTTAAAATTTATGACTCAAAACCCGAGGACTCATTTACTCTTTCTGTGATGGAACCTCCAACTGCAAATTCAGGCGTGCAATATATCCAAGCATTCCTAGAGTCATCTTCCTTGGAGGACAGAGTGCTACGGTCAGGTCAGACTTTAACTATTTGGTTGTCTTGCAAACCTAAGGAAATTGGTTTGCACACATCGGCTGTGCATTTTACCGTGGGGGATGAGACAATAGAACGACTGGTTTTTCTCTTGGCCGAGGATAAGATCTCTCAGTCTTTGGCGTCTGACAAACCATACCACAGAGGCAAGAAGAAGAAGAAGCAGATGGTTTTGGATGTCTCTGCAGGAGATGCATTTGTCGTGGGAGAACGTCCTGCCAAGCCTGCAACCCGAGGATTCAAAAAAATTATTGCTCAATTTCCAATCCCAAAGAATGTAAGAGACTTGGTAGAAAGTAAGCAGATCCCTGATGTTATCACAGAAGGTTTAACAAAAGCGAATTATGCTCATTACTTCACAACTTTAGTGATCATGGAAGAGATAAAAATGGAGGTAATTTCGAAATTTCAAGCAATAAATGATACCAATGATGGCAATAGTATTGTTTGGTTAATAAAAGATATGTTGAGTTGTTGTTTCAGGAAGACATGAAGGATTATGACATGGAGCGTGTCTCTATGAGTAGTAAGGGATCACAATTCTTATTGCTTGAGGTCCCAGGACTGGCTGAGAAAAGACCTTCACTTGTTTGTGGTGATTTCATTTGTGCTACACTTGCTTCAAAAGGTGTAGATGATTCCACTCGTGTATATCAGGTTTGTTTCAACTCACGTTTTACACAAAAAATCAAAGAAACTATGCAACATATGATATAAACAAAAGCTCAACTCGTCAAAGCCTTTATCCCAACTATTTGGGGTTGGCTACTGCTCAAGACAAATGTTGTGCCATTAAGTGGACATAAAATGCAAGTTGGTCCAGCTGAGTAAGCCTTGCACTTTGTGTTTTGAGATTTTTTACTGTTATTGTACACATCTCGTGATTTCCTGAAAAAATATATTTTCTAGCAAAAATTGTTGTCCAAAGAGATATCCATATGGACGAAAGTTTTTCTTGCGTTGGCAGATTTATCACTTGTAGGCAGACCAATAATGGACTTGTGAAACTCTTAAATTATGATGCTTTCAACCTTGATGCATTTATGTTACATATTCGTCCTTATTACTTGATATACGCTATAGAGAGAGAATTCTACAACCGCTTCTCAGACTATTAAGCTTTTTTAGTATGTTCTTGCACATCGGTTACATCTGCCCTGTTGAGGCTGAAGAAGCACATTTGTCCAGAACAGATTCTTTTGTGATATAAGTCAGCTCTGTGATATTTAAGGCGTAAAGCGAACTAAAGCGTTTAGGTCTCCTCAGCCCTAGATGAGAGGCGATAGGCGAAGCAAGGCGAACAATATAAAAACCAAGCAAAATTTTTAGTTTAGTTACGATTAAACATTCAAGCTCCAATTTCTCAAATGCTAAATGTTCAAATGTATGAACATTTAAATTCAAACAAACACTAATAATATCACAAATTCTAATGGCAACCAAAAGAATAAACATTTAAATTCTAGAATATACCAATAATATCCCAAATCCTAGCATTTGAAAACAAAAAACATATAATTCAATCAACTAAACATTTTGTCAATGCTTACACAAATCTTGAGGACTTAAAAACCATCATCATCACCAAGTAAAATGCAAAAATAGCAAAGGCGTTTGCCTCGTTGCTTTTCAATTAAGTGTGAAGCTTTCACCTTTGTTGTTTAAGCTTGCTTCAGAAAGCTCGCCTTGAGTTGGATACTTGCGGCGACCTGGGCTTGCTTGAGTTTATCATACGCAGGTGCAACTCATTCCAGCTTCCCATACTCTGTCTTTTCTGGCTAAGTCGGCATTTACTATTCAGCAATACTCTCTCTCACTCACACACACACACAAGCGTGTCTAAGACCTAATCCTGCTGTTTGACTTGATTTTCCCAGCAACCTTACTGTTGTGCCGGACCAGAATTGATTTTCTCGGCATCAAGCCTACATTACCAAGTATTCTTGACACGTTTTAGTGAAGAATTTAAAGTTAGCCTTTTTTGCAGATGATTAGCTTTTTTTTGAATGGGTTCATGTGCAGGGTTACATTCATCGTGTTGAGGCTGAAGAAGTGTATTTGAAGTTTGACAAAGAATTTCATGTGTGCCATAAGGTGAGTAACCTGTACAATGTATGGTTTACATTCAATCGATTGAACATGAGAAGGTTATATCAAGCTATTGAAGCTACAAAATATTTAGAAAGAGACTTTCTCTTTCCATCTAGAAAGAGATTTATACAGCCCATTCCACTGGTGCCCATATCTTGCATGCTTAATGAGGAGCAAATAAGTGCAATTGGGATGATCCTTGGCTGCAATGGAGGACCACCTTATGTAGTCCATGGACCTCCAGGTACAGGTAAAACTATGACTATAGTAGAAGCAATACTCCAACTGTATACAATGCGAAAGAATGCCCGAATTCTTGTTTGTGCACCTTCAAATAATGCAGCAGACCATATACTTGAGAAACTCCTTATGACAAAGGCAGTTAGAGTTCAACACAGGGAAATCTTCAGGCTCAATGCACTCACACGTTCTTTTGAGGATGTTAAGCCTGATCATATCAGCTATTGCTTTGCTGAAGAGTTTATCTTCAAGTGTCCTCCACTTAGGGATCTCATGCGCTTTAAAATCATCATATCAACATATACAAGTGCCTCTCTTCTTTACGCCGAAGGCATCAAGCGAGGTCACTTCTCTCATATTTTCTTGGATGAGGCTGGCCAGGCTTCAGAGCCTGAGGTGATGGTTCCTCTATCCAACCTTTGCCGAGGGGATACAGTTGTTATTCTTGCTGGAGATCCAATGCAACTGGGTCCTGTAATTTTCTCAAGAGATGCTGAAATTTATGGTTTAGGAAAGTCATACTTGGAGAGGCTGTTTGAATGCAAGTTTTATGGTGTTAAGAATGAAAATTATGTCACGAAATTGGTTAGAAATTACCGGTGCCACCCAGCAATTTTGTACCTACCTTCACAGTTGTTTTATAGAGGGGAGTTGATTTCTTGCAAAGATGATGACACATGGTCATCCATAACTTGGGTGGAAATCCTACCAAACAAGCAATTCCCTGTGTTTTTTTTTGGTGTCCAAGGTTTTGATGAGAGGGAGGGTGGTAATCCATCATGGTTCAATCGGATTGAGGCGAGCAAGGTTGTTGAGATCATCCGGAATTTGACACAGAACATGGGGCTGGACGACGAAGAGATTGGGGTGATAACACCTTATCGCCAGCAAGTGCTCAAAATAAAGAAAGCACTTGAAAGTTTTGGTTGTTCTGATATCAAGGTTGGCAGTGTTGAACAATTTCAAGGACAAGAGAGGCAAATTATTATCGTGTCGACTGTCCGTTCGACTGTAAAACACAATGAGTTTGACAAAACCTATTATTTGGGATTCTTAAGCAATCCCAGAAGGTTTAATGTTGCCATTACTCGAGCCAAATCTTTGCTGATTGTTATTGGGAATCCACATATCATTTGCAAGGTAATTCTGAATCTTTGTTACCGGTGTGTGCAATAGACAAACCTGATACAAATCACAGAGTAATATGCTTTATAGTTTATTTTTAACCCATTAGGTTGTTGCTAACCTCCAATATCCAATTTATTTCTTATCTTTGGGATCCTTTCATTGAAATCAGTTTAGTCACTTCCCAGAACACATGCAACTCAGAGAAATATGAACTATGCTGAAAGTAAATGTTTGGTTAATTTTGTCATAAGCATTTATGTAGATTTAAAATCAACTAAATTATCAGACTCAATCTCGTGAAGGCTGTTTCTTGATTAAATGACCAATATGGTTTGCGGTTCACAATACCACAGGATCCATACTGGAATAAGCTTTTATGGCATTGTTCCGATAATGGCTCCTACCAGGGTTGCTTTCTTCCTGAGAGGCCGGAATATCTAGACGAAGAATCAACACAAGTGGGTAATGAGGACAATGAAGGAGACGAGAAACTTCAGCCCTCTGAATATATAGAATGTGCCCAAGAGTTGGAAATTCCAAAGCCTGTTACGAATGAAGCTGAGTGGTCGCATGGTTGGAAGTCCTTTGAGACAGAAGAGATCCCAAAACCTGTTACAGGTGAGGCTGAATGCTCACATGATTCGAAGCCCTATGACGCAGAGGAAATCCCAGAACCTGTTATGGACGAAGCTGAGTGGTCCGATGGTTGGAAGTGCTGAAAAACAGAGGAGATCCCAATAAAGACTTGGGATCTCGGATAGGGAAGTTCTTTGTGTCTTTGGAGGCTTACTCTTTATACGTATCTTTTGTAAATCTCCAGGAATCTATACGTCGAAAAGACTAATGTATTTTGTTCCGAATCCTTGAAATTTGATTGATCAAAAGTTGTGTATGAATTATCTTTTGTTTGTCTTGGTAAAATTTTGCTTGTGATGGGTGATTGAAAATATGTTGCATGCATACACCAAATGTTATTTTAAATATGGTTCAAGGTCATGTTATCCGCCATCAACTCAGAGAGTTCTAAGATATATCAATCGTGGGGTTGCGTCGTGGTATCAGGCGATACAACCTAAAAAAATGTTGAATTTGACAAGAGATTCAGGTCATATTGCGGTGTTGTGGGACCGATTCACTGACGACAACTCGATAGTTCGGTATTGACTTGGATACAATTAGAATAAATTGGTTGAGATGTGCGAGAATCGAGGTTTATACGTATTGTGTAATATTATCATCGGCTGACTCGTATTGGTATCGGTTGATATTTTGAATCATGATTTTAAAAGGGTAAAGATAGTTTACTGCACTTTATTGCCTAAAATGTAAAATATACAAATATTTCCGTTGTATATCTGGGCCAAATTGAATCTGCTATGCGTTTCTTCCAAATTGACAGAATATTCCTAATTATATTTTGTTTTTAACCAAAAAATAAAAATAATATTTCTAATCTCCAGCCCTCTTGATTTAGCACTTGTCATCAATGAGAAATTACTTCACTTGATTTGAGAATTGCTTTAAATAATTAAAATGTCACTTTATTTCAAAAATAACCTAGCAATAGGATTCAATTCTAAGAACAGGCTCAAACAATACATCTACACCCCCAAAAGAATAATTCTCAAATACAATGATCAAATACACTTCAATGAAAGGAGATAGCAACTTATTAGTAGTACTTCAAAGCAATAGCTACAAACACAGCAACCAGAAATGCTGGTGAAAGACTGTGAGAAGGGTTGGCAGAAGATGGGTTCACAATCGGCCGGATCCCGGAATTTGTGGTTGTTTGAGATGGTGGTGCCAGAGCTGGAGTTGTATCAGCAACTGGTGCCGGCGACACTGCTTCAGGCACAGTTGAAGCTGCCAATTAATAGCAGATAATTAGAATTTAACACTTTCAGGTTTTTTGCAGCATCAAATTACTATTTGGCCTTGAGATAGGAGAGTTGTGTGAGTTGACAAGTGCTTAATGAGAAGAGCTTAATACCTTCAGGACTATTGGAAGGAGAAGCTTTAGGAGAGAGAGATGGTCCAAACGCTGCTGGACCTGTCAGCCAAAAATATATCTAATTACCATAGACCTTATTCTGTATTGAATGCATGGTTGCATTAAGAATCATAGAATAGAGAGAATTTGAGTTGTTATGCTACCTGGAGCTGGAAGAGGGGCACCAGAGGCTGCAATGGAGAGAAAGAAAATCAAATTAGTAACTCAAACAACCCGATTGAACGCTCAGAAAAGGGACAAAAATAAAAAAAAATTATGCATAATAACATATTGGTACTGTAGTTTATTAGCACTTAGTTTTTGATTCACCTTTGCATTGGAGAGGCACACCGGACATGTTACAAGCACGCGGGAGAGAGATGGCTAGAGTTTGGTTAATGGGTAACTGGAAGGGGACATTGCCGGTGACTATAAGGCACAGACACTCTGTCCCATTGCTTGCGAGTGACCTGAGTGAATTGCAGCAGTTAGAACTTGGTGAAGTTCCATTGGTGCTGCTATTAGTAATGAAATTCATGCAAGGGGTGAAGGTACTAAGCATTGAAGGGGTGCATGTCTGGCCATAAACTGGCACATACAGAGCGATCAGAGCAATAGAAAGCACAGAAATTAAGCGCGAAAGGGACTCCATGAATAGCCTTTTTTCGGTTACTGTTTTATTGGGTGTATGTATTAGAGAAGGGAACGAATTTTAGGTGTTGAAGAGAAATGGGAAGGTGATTGGATAAGAGAATTAGAAGGTTGAGGGGAATTTATAGAGGGAGAATTGGAAGTGATGAGAAGCAGAGGAAAGAACAGGTAGAAGTGGTTTTGAGGCTCAACTACTTTAACTAACTTTTGTGAAATATGGGGAGTTTAGGTGGGCTTTTGGTGCTTGGCCTATTTGTTATTTGGGTAACATTTTTTCTGACTATTGACAAAATTGGGGTGGGGTTTTGTCTGTGTATCTCTGTGTGCGTTTGTGCACGCGTTGGGCGCGCCAGGGGAAGGGGAATACGACCCCTTATTTGAATTTGAACGAACTCATCTGGTGACTCGGGTGAGTTAACCACCGGAAACCCACTTGTCTTTTGGTTCAACACTTCTTTTTTTGGTTCAATAGTCAAAGGTATTTGGGTCAATTAACATGCATATCAATTAATCATCTCCCTCATTTGGTTAAAAATAGATCATTTATGTTAGAATTAGGGTATTCAGGGCTGACCCAATGAAAACTGGGGTCCTAAGCGAAAATGTTAAATGAGAATCTATAAAAATTTATCAAAAAAACAAATATATTGTATGATTAAAATTTTATTTAAAATTTATTTTTTTCACTTTTTGTGTTGCAAAATTAGTAATCAAAATTTTATATTTGAGTTTTGCTACTATATTTTTTCAATGAATAATATGATTAATCCACTCAATCTTTTTTGTGTTATAGTTGATTGTAAGTTAAATTTTATGAGTTTTAATTTTGAAAAAACTTGACATATTTCAAACTAAAAATTCTTATGAATAAAATATAGTTTAAAATAACAAATAATTATACTAAGAGAATAATCTAATATCTTATAAAAGTCAATAATAATTAAACACAATATCACATGATAAATAAAAATTGTATAAGTTTTGAATTGACGATTTGTTCGCCTCCCAAATCATCTACTATTTCAAACTTTCACAATAAAAAAGAATAATTGCATTAAATTAATCCAATCAATAAAAATATTAAAAAATTAAATTACTAATCAAACAAATATGTATCTTTTTAATTTAATTTAGGTTGCAAGAGAGAGATACATAATTATGCTATATGAACTTTTTTACTTGAGAGGGGAGAGAGAGAGAGAGTAGATTTTTAGGCTTTGTGAAAAATTAATTTTTGCCTCTTTTTTAGAACTTTCAAGGGTTTTAATTGGTAGAAAAAGTAAGAAATATGTGAATTGAGCCTTTTTTTTAGTCTAGGCCTCGTAAGAATTTTTATTAGATTGAGCCATTTAAACCAAAATTTTTGGGCTAATTTAAATAACAGTAAAAGATTATACTTATTATTTGGGGCCCCTATTTTTTTTGGAGCCGTGACTTGTCTATTGGGTCAGTCCTAAGTATTCATGAGAGATAAATCTTTCATAGCGTAATTTCAAAGGGTTGATAAGATTCGAACTCCAGACATTTAAATTTACAGCTCGTTTCTATTACTACTTAAATTATTCTTAGGTTTTTATGGTTCAACACTTTACCGTATAGAAAATAAGCATGTAAATGTCACAATGTACTTCCAAATCTGTATAATAAAATATAATATAATTCAAATCTGAAAAAAAAAATATTTTTTATTTTTTGCGGTTAAGATTTCTTTAAATTTTATTTTAAAATTAATCCGACTGCTAATATTAATATTCTAAATTTAATAGGAAAAATAGGCCCCTAAGAATGTGTTTAAGGTGACTTTGTAAAATTACTTCTAAGACTTATAATTTCATATAAGTATTTTAAAAAAAAAGTGTTTGAAACCGCCCTACCACTACTACTACTACTACCATCACCCCTCACCACTACTACCACTCCACTATCATCACAACTACTCCCACCACCACCACCACCACTACCCTGATCGACCCACTATTACAACTACCATCACCACCATCTCTGCTATAACAACCACAACCACTGCCATCGCCACTATCACTGTTATCACCCCACCCACCGCCCCACTAGCACCATCACCACCATTATCGTTGTCACCACCCTACCACCACGACGACCCCCATTGTCCCATCACTATTATCACTACCACTGCCACCATCACCATCACAATCGTCGCCACCCCCACCATCACCTCTGCCACAACAACCACTACCACTACCATCACCATCGTCGCCGCTGCAACCACCATTGCTGCCACCCCACCACAACCACCACCATCACACCTCGTCGCCCCACCACCACCACCACCCCCTCCCCTATCACCATCGTCACCCATCACTGATTGTTACCACCGTCATCCACTATTATCACCCACTACCATCGTTATCTCATTCTTATATTTATTACAACTACCACCATTATCTCACTACCATCGCCATCCACCGTCAAAATCCACCACCATTGTTGCTCACCACCATCCACTACCATAACCCACCATCCATTGTTGCCCATCATCGCTGTTAGCCACTTTCACCCACCCTCACCTTGCCTACCACCACCAACATACCACCCGTCATTACCCACCACTGCCACCACCCACTATCATCCACCCCCACCATACCTACCACCACCTCCAACATCATTATTCTTTACCACCCATCACACTACCATCTAGAAGCATCTGTCGTCGCCCCACCACCACCGTTGTCAACCACCATCATTGTCGCCCATCATTACCCTTATTCACCACCACCACCACCTCTTTCACCCATGACTACTACTACCACCATTGTCACCCAAAACTCACCACAATCATCGTCGTTGTGACTACCACCACGGTTGTTGCTACCCACCACAATCATAACTGTCTTGCACCACCACCCACTGCTGCCCATCACCACTACCATAGTTCATTACCCATTATAACCGGTGCTTAAATTCAATTATTTCTACTTTATATTTTAGATTTAATTTTAAGTGTAAATACAAATATATTTTTTGTTAATTATTATTTTTTATTATTTCGTATCTTCAGGCACAGATAATAACTAATACTTCAATATGGTTTGATACTTTTTGCTTAATGAGATGCAATGTCTTGGTATAATGATATCTACTGGGCATTGATTTTTCTTCAAATTTTCCACCCTAAAGAGGAAACAATTATATTTTTAATTACCCGGATGGAAGATTTGTTGATGATTTTTCAAGCTCATTGATCTTGGAAAAAGTGCAACTTAATGCATTAGGTTTTCCTTGTTACGAGGTCTGATCAGAAATGTGAAGCCTTATTCTCGTTTATGAAAAAATTATTTACGTGCTTCGACCTTGTGGAAACTTACTCTTGTGTGGGAGAAAAATTGGTTCCGTAGCTTGAATTCGTGACTCTCACATCTCAATTGCGTCACAACTAGGGGTGGCCCAACGTACACGGGGTCCTAAACAAAAATGTTACCCTGGGTCATATTAATATTAATATATTGAATATTTTTAATAATCATAATTTAATATTTTATTTCTTATTTTTTGAAATACTACAAAGTTGATCAAGTTTTTATATTCTAGTTTTATTAATAAAATTTTCTCATTAGATTATAGTTAATCCATTCAATTTTTTCTGTGATATAGTTGATTGTAAATAAAATTTTATCAATTTAGATTTTAAAAAACACTTTTATGTTGAAGCGACTATGGTTAACAAAAATTTATAATGCATTAATTCAAAAGAAAAAAAAAGTAGTCTTTTTATGTTGTTCACTATTTCAATTGGAATGTTACTTTTAATTTTTATAACTTTTTTTAAAATTTGTAACGTTGAAAATAAAATTAAGTCATCAATATTAGTACATATTAATAATACTATACAATGGACCAAAAATATATGTACTTAAAAATTATATGCTCTTTAAGATAGAAATTATAAAAGAAAGAATAAGGAAAAAATTACTTATTTAACTTGTAAGAGAGAGAGAGAGAGAGAGAGAGAGAGGTCCAAAAATGCTCATGAGGCAGTTTTTTTCGGGGAAAAATATAAGAAATCATGATATAAAATATAAAACTATAAGGGCTTGATTGAGCTTAACTAAATGGAGAGAATCTTTGCACCTAACAAAGTTAGAAATTGATTCGAGCACCTAAAAATTCAAGATCTACTTAAAACTCAAAGTCATAAAATTTGGGCCAAAAATACTGAAGATTATAATTTTGAGTTTTTTTTTGTGTGGGTACATTTTTTTAAACTTATTTGAGAGGTAATGTATGAATAAGTATTTTACTTTATTAAGTTCAATTTTAATAAAACATCTTCAATTTTAATAAAACATCTTACGATTAGATACAAAATTCAAATGACATTTAAATTTTTTTATTTGCTTACTCTTCTTTAAATTGTAAATAATTATTATTTTTTCACTCTCTCTCTCTCCATTACTCTTTCTATCTCTTTCCTATTTTTTTTTTCTCTCTCTCCCATTTGATAATTTATTTTTTTTAAATATATAAATATTTAAAAATAAGGGTAACGGTGAGAAAAAATAAGGGTAGAGAGAGTGAGGGAGGGAGAGAAAAAATAGGGAGAGAGATGAAAATTTTAAATCAAATCTTTACATATTTGAAAAAAAATAAATTATAAATAGGAGGGGAGAGAGAGAGAATAGGGAATAGATTGAGAGAGTAATTGAGAGAGAGATAGATAGATAGAGAGAAAATATGGCAGAGAGAGTAATGGAGAGAGAGGGAGTGGGAGAGACACACAGAGTAATAAATGGTCTTTTAATTTTTTTTTTTTCAAAAAATTGTACTTAGAGTCAAATAATTTTTTTTAATATAGTTTATCTTAATTAAATCTAAATTTTTTATACCTATTTCTAAATTTTCCGATAATTTTTGGGACAATTTAAAATTGGTGGTTCTAAGCAACCACCTTAATACCTTATGTCTAGGGCGGGCCCCGGTTCCAACGTGAAAAATCAAACTTAAAAATTTCAGTAATTATCACAAGACAAAATAGGTTCAAGGTCACCGATAAGTAGGGTGGTTTAGTAGGGTATCGATTTTACTCCTCATCTTGAGGTTGAAAATTCAAGTCTTGGAGTCTCTATTGGGGCTTGGTGGTTGACCGCTGTGCAAGCCTAGCTAGATCTAGTTCCAAGAGGTGTTCCAGGCACGATCAAGACCTTACGATCCCACCAGTGAGGGCCTATCAGGGTGGTCGTTGGACACTCTTCCTTATCCCCACCCCTTTCTTTATTTATCAAAAAAAAAAAAAAAGAATAGGTTCCAAGGTCTGGTTAGGTGATCAACCAGCTTCTGTCTCTGTGTCTACGTATGTGTCTTGCCCATCCACAGCTAAAACTATTCACACAGGCCCTTGTCCACAACCTCATACACTGATAGTCTCCTTAATATAAGCAGTAGGTAGACAGTAATTGATCAATAATTTCAATACTGATGCCAGCAATTGACACGTTAATGCTGGTTTGTTTTGAAAAATTGGAGAACTTACCTCATAGAGTCTTGTTCTAGTTTACCAAATACCAGCCCTTGCTACTTCTGGAAAAACTTAGTCATACAGACACTACTAATACATCCACAAATGTATAAGGGTAAATTACATTTTTTCCTTTGAATTATTATCTTTGTTTCACTTTGAACCCTCAATTATTAAATTTTTCACATTAACTCTAAAGTGTTAATTTTATTTCATATCACTCTAATAGACAACAACTATTAATTTTTTGACAATAAATACGTATGTGAGTGGTATGTATTACCAATAAGCAACTGCCTATTGCACATGTGTAGGTCAAAAATAAAAAAAATACTCATTTATTATTTTGTCCTTCCTAAATTCTAAGTTTTCTTCCTCTGATCGACCTTCTTTTTCTTCCCAATAATCATGTAGTTGCAAAAAAGGTAAAATAAAGTGGTACTAGGCACTTTACGGGAAGTTCTTTGGCGTATTCCTCCCTCATTTGACAGATTTTTTCAAGTTTGTCGTTATTTATTGCAGTTATATAAAATAAAATTAATTTTTTAAGGTGCAATGTGAGAAATTTTATAGTTGGGGATACAAAGTAAAATAAAAATAATAGTTTAGCTGGGTAAATTATAATTTATTCAATGTATAAATCAATCCATCCTGTTCCCTCAATGCCATCCCAAAAAAACCCAAAAAACACGACGAAATCAGATGGCTCCAAGTAAAATTACAATGGGTATAGTCCTGGCGCTAGTGATCACCATGTTTACGACACGAGCCATGGCTCAATCTGGTTGCACCAATGTGCTAATTGGCATGGCTTCATGTCTCAACTATGTCACTGGGAGTTCCACAACACCATCTTCTTCATGTTGCTTAGCACTTGCCAGTGTTGTTAAATCACAACCACAGTGCCTTTGTACTGCCCTCAGTGGTGGTGGTTCCGCCTTGGGTATTAACATTAATCAGACGCTGGCACTCGCCTTGCCGGCTGCTTGCAAGGTGCAGACTCCGCCTGTTAGCCGGTGTAATGGTAAAAAAGCTCAGTTCAACACTTTTGTATTTGATTTTATTAATATTGAGTTGTAAAATGTAGCTTGATGTTTATGTTTGATGTTCTTTTTCCTGAAGGTGGTAATGGACCAGCACTGTCTCCGGTGAGTTCTCCGGAAACTTCACCGGGAGACTCTTCAGATGAAACTTCTGATTCTCCAGGTGGCTCGCCCATGCCAGGTATATATACATATTCCAAGTGTGCAATGTACAGGACATTAGGCTCAAGTAGTTCTAGTAAGCTGCAGGGTTAACTATGCACTACTTCCATGGTTCTTAAAGCTAACGGGTGATGTAACAGTAACGGTAATGATAACGGTGTATCGAAAACAGACACGTTATGAAATGGAAATGCCAACCGGCAGTGTGAACTTTTTTTTTTTTTGCATTTACACCTAGGCATATATGAGAGAGCGAGTGCATAATCTTCATGCATGTTCGAATTTCACACATAGTTGACTAAGACAAGCACTGAGTTTGAGGAGAAAGAAACAGATAGAGATCTTGATCCAGGTCCACTCTAATATTTATTTCCTTTGGCTGATCATCCACAATTAAAGAGTAAGAAACCTATTTGTATCCAATTGGTCTCACTTGAACACATAATAGGTGATTCGCTAAGAGCGAAATTAAATAAAAAATATATTGATGGGAATTTCACTCCTAAAGATCGTACGTGATGCTTAAGGTTGCCCCTTATTGCAATATCTGAGAAAGACAAATAGTTGACATTATTCTCCCCAATTTGGAAAGACAGATTTTCGGTCTCATACTCATAATCGTTCAGGTGAATGAACACTTGTCATTACTATAGATCCAAAAACCGACTAAACACAAAATTCACCAAAAAAACTACAGTATCAAATTTGGATTTGTGAAGGAAAAGAAATTGTTTGTTGAATTAGCTGATCATTTTAAGATGCAAGATGATTTACTGTTTCCCTCCAATTTTCAAGAATTTGTCATAAAATTCTTCAAGTGAAATAAATAGTTATGAACATTTTATAATTGTTTTGGCTATGAATTATCATCTTCTTCCGTTAATTTTTGTAGGAGGAGGATCAAAAACAGTGCCTGGAAATGGTGCAACCTCCAATGGCAGTACTATAAAGATGTCCCTTCAGCTCATTGCCTTCCTCCTGTTCATGGCTTCATATGCTTCAACTTATAGCAGCAGCCTCTGAGTTTTCTTTGGGAGATTTGAAGCTGATTCTGCAATTTATATCTAAAAATATACATGTTTGTGTAATGTGTGTTTAATATTATCTCTCTCCTCGAGATTTTCATGGGTTTTTTAATGCAGGTATGAATTATCTAAAGAGTGTTTTTGCTTGTTTTCCTATCTTTTGGTTTAAAAAAGTGGTTCACCTTTTTAGTGATGATAAGTGTTTTACATGATCTTGTGTACATGACCACATGCATTTGTTGGATATCTGCAACAAAGTTCTCAAATCTTAAATGATATTTCTAGATGGGTTTTGACCAAAGCAAACAAAAAATAAGGACCCCATAATTTGGGGTTTATATGGTAAGTAAAATTCGAATTTAAAAAAGAATAAATGAGGAGTCAAAAACATCTCCATATCAACCCCACATTATTTTGTCTTTAATTTTTGTTTTCGTTTTTGGTTAGTTAAACATTATCCTATCCTGATATATGAGAAGCTTTAATCATAGTTAATGGGTTCGGTCTAGACTAGTTTCACATCAAAGATGCATATCAGGTTCAACTCAAATATATAAGCCAAACTCATCATAGGATAAATGAATTTTAGTTGGGCCAAACCCACCTTTCTGAGAGACTCAGCCCATCATCAGTGCGTGAGAAACTCTATCTGAGGAGAGGGAATTCGTGGAGATGCAATCATCAGGGACACATCGTCAGTCTCACGAGATTACCTCGACCGTTACAAGATAAGACAAGTTTTAAGGAATCACTCCGCTATCACCTTATCCGTTACGAGGATAAGACGAGTTTTACGGAATCACCCCACTCCTTGTTGTAAGGATGATGCCTCAGTTAGAGCCCCTAAGAGCCAACTTCACTCACCTAGTATAACTCCCGTCTACACATGGGGGATATCACATATATCTCAACACACTAAATCTCTTGAATAATAAAATTGTCCGGCCATCGTTGTCATTCCTAGTGGAGTAGATTAGCAAGACCAAATTACATAATCTTTATGTTTACTTGTGTTGAGTCTTCTTTATTTCATTCTTGATTATTTTGCATAAATTCACTTTTGTGCATCATCAATAATAATTCAAGTGTGGCACAATTTTAGACCTAATGTGATCACACACTCTATCACATACTACAGTTAGATTGATAGTAAAACCTATCTAACCTTTAAGCTCGTTATTAAATCCAATGTTAACGAAAAATAAGGTAAGCCAATTAATTTCAGGTAGCATTACTCTAAAAGACCACCAATATGAGGTATAGCTAAATGTTTATTCCACAAAAAGATGATGTCTGGACACCCTGACTATTGAACAAAAAAAAATGATGTCTAAATGAACCAAATGTGAGAAAATAGTCAAAATTGACAATTTACAAGAAATGAGGCATCAAAAAGTATGGCTAAAATCAATAGCACTAGCTTGTTCGGAATACAACTTATTATAAATGTAAAACTCCAAAATGTAAGAACTCAAAGTTCAAAATGTCAAAGAGCAGAAATGTAGTGGTTGGAAACTGCAACCATACTCATTGAGACTCTATACAAAATGAGTAGAAAGGATGAAAAATTCAAAGGGGTGTCAAAAAAAATAAAAATTAAATTAGGATACTCACCAGTTAATCTTGCATTTACTTCTTTGGTACATTTTGGGAATCTATATAAAGTTTTAATAAAATTCTAATACAGATGGATTTTAGAAACAGTTGAAGTGTAATTTCATACACTTTACACATAAGTTGATCAATTTTTTTAATAAAGTTTGAACAAGTGATTATAGAAACAAGACTTTGTTTAGAAAATTGTTCTAGTGATACAGGAGTATTGAGTTCTATATTCTTTTTTTCACTTAGGATAATGTACAAGACAATAAAACGATGATAGAGTTGAGATTTGATGAATTGAATGTGAATAAAGGAAATGAACTAAAATGTTTGAACATATTAAACAAAAATCATAGTTCTAGACAAAGTATAGTATGACAAAGTACAATTCTTACAACTAACCTAAAATAAGGGGACCAAAATTTTATTAAAATAATGGGTACATCAATATAGTCACATGGTCATTTTATTATTATTATTTTTTTGGGTAAATGGCATATGGCTATTAGTAAACTATGTCGATACACTCCAAAGGTAAATAATAATTTTGTGGGATGTATATTGGTACAACATAATCAACTATCAGATATATTGGATAAATGTATTAATCAAGCCCAATTTACCCAAACTTAATTTGGTGATGATTGGCTGAGTTTGAATTGGAGCTAAACCCGTTCAGCATAAATTTGTTTGTATTCAAGTTAAAATCATGTTTAATTTCTCAGAAATATTTTTAAGAATTATATTCTGATTTCATTTATTTTACAATTTGAACGAGTCTAAAAGAACCAAAATCGAGTTAAGCCCAAGCTACTCAAATTTCCAAATGGCGTATTTTTAGATGGAAATTTCAAGACTTTTTTTTTTTTTTTTTTAATCTTAAAGTCTTTTTTTTTATTCTTTCAGAGATATGATTGCTTGGAAGGTTGGTCTTAGCAGTCTTCTTAAACTACTGTGTTGGTTTATTGAAGTAATTTCAATTATATAATTAGGTAGATTAGTAATTAGTCTAATGATTATCGTTTTTACTGTTATATTTTAATGTTGAAGGTTCAAACTTCATCATCCCTCTATCCTGTAATAATATCTAACAAAAAAAAAAATGGATAGTTACAAGGAAGGCCACCATTGCAATTGATTAAAAAAAAAAATTGTCCCCATGTATGACACTCTCCATGGAACCCAGAGAAAGCTATTAATAAGATCCACTAAATCTAAGGAGTAATATTATTTCAATCTAATTTATTGATCTAATACATCACAGCCGCTAAATTGGTTGTGAGTCTTAATAAAATTATGTTAACAAATTAGTTTTAAATAACATTATTGAATCTACCACTAAGGTAGTAATCTAGCTGTCCTCCTCCATCCAATGGTCATGGATTCAAACCCTCTTGTGGGAGTAGTCCTTTAGAACTATATATTGTTAGAGAGGTTGAATGTCTAACTTATCCTTGATGATACTATAATGGTGAGTTTGATCATTCTAAATCAATAGTTATGGTTCAAATTTAATATTTAACGAATAAGAATATCAAGTTATGTCATGGGTTGAATCTAAAGAGATGATTGAATTGACAAATCCAAAATAGTGTGTCGAACCATACAAAAAGGTAGGAGACAGAAGCACGTTATGCTTTGTTCCCATGAAAAAGTATATAAAAATCCAAAGTTTTGAACAATGAAATTGTAGGTTGCCACTTATACAGAACCTCTTTCTTTATATGAGTTGGTAACCCACATAACCAACCATTTGCTAGTTTATTATATCATAATTTCCCCAACTAAACCACAAGACCAGTTTTAGAAGTATCTCCCAAGTTTTAGTTAGTAACAGAAAAAGGGTTTTAAAGGAAAAATTATTAATTATACGACTTTGAACTTACTTCGATCGTCTACTATTGAGTTTCATACATTATCCTTCAATTATTTAAACTAATGTTACATTGTTCCCAAAACAAATCATTTGCAATGTTGTAACCAAAGAATACTAGTGAGTATATGATTTTGACACAATATAAAATAAATTCACGCAATTTGATAAACAAAGTGCCAATGTTAATAGACATCTACAATAGGATAATCTGAAACTTACAATAACAATTGGAGATACAATGAAAGAAACATGATAATTACGGGAACAATGTGATACACCAGTCATTGTTCAGCGGTCAAAGAATAAATTGTCCATTTATAAAAGTCTCTAGCATGGACACCTTGGAGAGTAGGAGAAGTCGGTTACCAGCATAGCCAATTTTCTTCTGACTATTATTCCCTATTTCTCCTATATAAACCCTCATACCTTTCTCTCCCTCCACCAAAGTAATCAAACTGTTTGAATAGCCTAGATACCTCCCCATTCCACAGGAATTTCCAGCAAACTAATCCATTCCAAAGTACCTGTTCAAAGAACTCCAATGGCACATCAAAGAACTGAGATGGGTCTAGTATTGGTCCTAGTGACCATCCTCTGGACTGGAGCCACCGCACAGTCTAGCAGTTGCACGAGCACGATAATAAGCATGTCACCCTGCCTCAACTACATTACTGGCAACTCTTCAACCCCGTCTTCAAGCTGTTGCACTCAGCTTGGCAACGTTGTTCGCTCACAGCCACAGTGCTTGTGTCAGGTCCTAAATGGTGGTGGCTCATCCCAGGGGCTCAACATCAACCAAACTCTTGCTCTGGCTTTACCTGGTGCTTGCAATGTTCAGACTCCACCCCTCAGCCGTTGCAATGGTAACGATACACAAGAAATATCTGTTTCACATCTTAAGCAAATTTTCATTCTTGTAACAAAGAATTTATAACATTATGCTCATCAACATATATAACCACTACTAACTAGTAACTTTGAATCTGATAGCTGCTTCTCCAGCTGATTCTCCAGAAACTCCAAGCACAGTACCATCAGGTACCAGAACTTCAATATTTCTTTCACTGCAAATGATGCTACTACTATAGTTAGAAGCACCAAGACATTTGTGTGGCATTACAAAATCTAATCTTGGTGTCTAGAAACCATGAAAACGACGAAAAAATATTTTTTTTTCCTATGGTTTAGCAATAAAACCCTTAAAAAGTTTCATCGTCAGCCTCTGGTTTACATATCTTCATAAGTTTTCTATCGATAAAAAAAAATATCAACCACTACCAGGACAACAATGTTCAACTTAATTTTTACATGTGCAGGACGGGGATCTAACACAGTACCATCAACAGAAAATGGTTCCTCAGATGCAACCTCTACTAAGTTAGCAGCTCCTATGCTTTTCTTTCTATTGTTCATTGCATCATACGCTTCGACCTCCGCACTCTGCTGAGTTCTGTTTTCTGTCATCCTATTGCTCAATATACAATCCTACGTATAGAATGATTGTTTACTTCAAGGTTCCTTTTTCCTTGGTTGAGTGTCTCATGTAATATTTATTCTTTTGTAACCTCTTCATTGGTTGATATGGTTATTGTATGACTGAAGAGATTTGCTCTCTTCCCTTTGAATAAAGATGATTCCTGCCCTGTGAACTAGA